TTTTTTTTTTTTTTTTTTTTGGTATAAGATTGTAGAAGTTTTTATCTTTTTTTCCCAACCTGTAGCATCAAATCTATGAGAAATAATTTTAAAAAAACATTTCAAAATAAATAAAAATTCTTAACTGCTATATTCTAAATAACAAAATTTGTTCGGTGAATAAAACTCAAAAACAATCCCCATTAAATAGTTTTAATATTAGTTGTTATTTTGTAGCTAAAAATCAATCTCCTATTCATTTTAAGCAAGGGTAACGTTGCAACCTAAAATGTTTTTAAGAATGCATGCATAATTATATTGGTATCAGAATTTCTTTTTTCATTTCTACGAGAAAGCTCCATAGATAAGAAGAATCTATAAATAACAAATAAAAATATATTATTTTGTGTAAAAGTGAAAATGGAAAAAATTGAGTATATGACGCAGTGTGAGGACTCTACTGAATGTTAATTTTTGGAGGGATTGATGAATGAGAAGAGAAAATAATATTTTTTACATGAAAAATAGAAATTGAATTTTTGGAGAATAAAAAAAATTATTTAAAAAATTGGAATGTAAAGTGTTACATACTGTAATACAAAATAGTGATTTTTCTTTCCATTGTGGATATTTAAGTATATTTAACTATTTAATGGCAAATTTGTAACTTTTTTAGTATATGTTGTTTTTTGATACCATACTATAATGCATATAGACAAAGGGGTGCGTTTTGTAAATTTCCCTTTAGAACCACATGGGAGTGAGGAGAATCATTGTATAGGGGAAAAATATGATTTCCCTGATGAAAATGCCAATTGTGTAAAAATGGAAGGAAGAACTTCGACGAAAATTTACCTGAGGAGAAGCAATGATTGTCTAAAGTAGAGAACGCCTTTGGCTGCATCAGACTCAAGCATCTGATAAATTACAGAGAGCGATCCAATATCATCAACTACAGACCATCTATCATATAACTGCAGCCAACAATCAGCTGCTGTCCAATTCTCAACGTGCTCACGCACAAGAGTACGGAACTGGGATGCTGCTACCCGTCCATCAAACATCCGATAATCTGGACAAAGTGTAAGAATCACCTGAACATCACACATAGCAGATTGGTATTCCTCAAGTGTAAGATAGAAACAAAAACGCAGTTCCAAGCACTTTAATGCTAGCTTGAAACCAAGAATCCGGTTGATCTCTGCAAGGGCAGCTTGAACATTTTGTTTTCTCATCAAGGATGCTGCTCGATACATGTATGGGTAAGTTAGTGTCGGATCAAGCTCTGTTGCTTTATCCAGATATCCCCACCTCTTATCATCCTGACAGTATAATGACTTTTCTTGGTACATCCATCCAAGCGGAGTATAAGAGGAAATAACATTGCTGAGTTTTTCATAAGACCAATCTTTACAACCCTTGATGTCACTTAATCTAGCTAGGCCAACAACAGAATAAACATGACCTTCGTTCAAAGCCACCTCAAATAGCTGTTCAGCTTCATCATACTCTTTTCTTAAGAATCTAATACATCCCAACTGATGATAGGCAACCATTTTCTGCCGGCGGGTTTCAGCACAGTCCACTAACAGCTTCGAGAAAAGAACTGCTTTGTCCGAACATGGATCATCATTTATGGCAACTTCACTTAATAAAGAGTAGAGTGAAAAGGATGCTGGCCCAACCATAATTGACATTTTTTGCCTATCTGCACTTGTTAAAAGTTCAACAACCTGACAGTCATTCACAGAGTCTGAAAGTTCATGTAGAAACACTTGCAAACATGATGCAGCGAGGACACAGGAATTCTCTTCAAGAGCACATTCCATGAGTTCAACTGCATCTTGTCTGGAGGAAACCAAAGAGGCAAGTTTCCGATCACAAGCGTGCTTAAGACTTTCACAGCAAAATTTGTTGGCAAATACCAATATTTCTAGCAAAAGATTGGGGTGCACCTCATTTAAACTGCCTGTTGAGCTGAAATCACTGATCACTCTCATCCCTGAAGGGGAAATACTGTTTTCAGACAGATCAATGTCCTCGCAAAATGATTCCATGAAACAGCCATTAAGCATGGTGTGAAATGGAACTGAAAGGCCAGCAATTTTCTGCCTGTCACATGATATTTTCTCATCTCCGATTATGAAAGAAACAATACTTGAAAAATGCTTCTCCTTTGACATATTAGTTCCACGAGAGATTAAATTATCATTGATGGGGAACTCAGAGGCAATATCTATAATCCCAAACTCCTTAGCACATTCACCACAAGATGATAGCAAATCAGATACAATCTCACCTTGCTTCTCATATTTCAACCATGCCCCAAAAACGAGCTTATCATAAACAGTGCTAGCTTTCAGCCAAGCCAGGCGAAGGCTCCTTCGCATCAATTTGACTTCTCCGAGGCCCTTAAAGACATGATACTGTAACAAATAAAGATTCGACTTCTTTTCCGGAGGACAAGACTCAAGTTCCTCGTGAATTTGAGCTAAAACTTCTACATAATCAACAGGTTTAAATAATGGAAGAATCTGAGGTTCAGGGACCTTCACAAGAGATTCTCTACAAAACATCCCAACATATTGTTCGATAAATTAACTACTCAAAAGTGTATGAAAAAATAACAGGTTTAACAACAGAAACAGATACTTACATGGAAGATGGAGACTGAGATGCAAATTTGGAAAGCTTGCCTCTTTCAACTTGGAGCCATGGCTGTGGATTGACAGCACTTAGATGTGTTTCTTTACAAGACTCAGATGGAAAAAAGGTCCTCATGGGACATAACAAACGAAACAACTCCCAGATCTCCACAATAGCAAGATGGATTCTTTTCTCCAAAAAATAAAAATTTAGGAGTAGAATTAAAAATATAAAAAACAAAACAATGTCTCCTCAACCTAACCGCAACTGTACTAAGCTAAATGCTCTTCCGAGTCGAATCAATTCACACAAACAACAGTCGAAATCCCCTTTTGGGGTTCTATAAATAATCATAATTTGAATTTTTTACACAACAAAAATGGTTATTAGCAACTCACAAACTGGTGAAAAGCAGGATATTTTTCAGAATTTCAACTCCTGCCAAGAAAATATTGAACATGAGAGCCCTACAAATGAAAGACAAAAAATAGCACTAAAGGCCAAAACCCACAAAAAATTACATAAGATCTCCACCAGAAATGTCCACCAAACCACATTTAAGGCAACGGAATCGCCTAATATTAACTAAAACAAAACATACCCACTAATCTTTTTGCAAATATAACAGATAATTTACTAGCAAAGCCATAAACGAAACCAAAATCAAGATTCGAAGACCAACCCTACTAATTTTCGGATTGAATTTACAGATCCAATTGAAAATTTGAGAAATGAGCTGCAGAGACAGAGATGGCTTGGAACCCAAAGGAAAAATTCAGTATCTCACTTTCTTTCAATTGTTTGGTAAAAGGAAAAGGTTTCCTTTTTCCAAAAAACAAAAACAAAAAATACTGTTTATTTCCGTTGGAGAGCATAAAGAAAAGACTGCAGGATGCTGTTTATTGGAAAAATAAATCACGGAAAATAGAATTCAATTTAGAAATTTTGCATTATTAAGAAATTTTGAATTGGACAAAAGCGTCGTCGTTTTCGTCCAGAAAGTATCCACCCCATGTGATGACAATTGGCATTTGAAGTTGTCGAATGATTGAAATGGATTTTGCTCTGATTGGCCCTCATTAAATTTCATTACATTATATTTTATTTTTCTCTCTTTTATTTTTAATCGTACAATTTTTTATAAAATAATATTATACTTAAATTGAAAATATTTCATTCTTTTTCAACTACTCATTTTTAAAAAAATACTATTCCACCCATTTTCAAGAAATGAAAATGAGGACCAAACAAGGGCTTTGTGTTAAACAACAGGGAAATTTGCTTCCATGGTCCCCAATGGTATTTCTATAGTAACAAATAAGTCTCTAACTTTTGAATTATAAGTAATTGATAAGAAAATTTACATTCTAGGCGCATGGTGAAATGCATAAATGTGTCCAAATTCCTGTTGATCGTCATGTGGTTCTTGTATACCTAAGTTTATAGTATTATATTTTGTTTCACAATCTAATACTACGAAAATCGAAGTGAAGCATAACAAGAGTTATGTGACAATTTAAGGGTAAGGACCAACTTATACTTTTTTCTAAATTTAGAGACTAACTTGCAACTAAGGCAGTACATTAAGGATCAATCATAGATTTTCCCAAAATAATATGGTGCATGACTAATAATTGGGCAGGAGAATTCTGCATGATGTATACATATATCCAGCAATACACGTGGGAATTTTCTTGAAATAATTGTACCCAAAAAAAAAAAAAGGATTTAATTTTGCTGAATTTGGGTTTACAAGAGATTTCCCCTCCTAACAAGTAACAAAAAACAATGCATAAGTGGTTTAATTACGTCAATGTGTCACTGTAGTTGTTTTCTTTCGATAATAATTACTCTTAAGTTCCTGAATGTTATACATTCGATATAAATAACATTTTAATGTGACGTGTTGTTATTTAATGGTGCCAAACAGGAATATTGTTAATTTTTTAATCGATTGATCATCAATTTTACAATTAGAAAGTTGAGTAACTATTATCGTAAGAATATAATTTTAGTGAAATTGACGTAATTACTCAAAGTTTCAATTATCATTAACTCTATTTTTGTTAGACACTTCAAATGATATAAAATGTGTTGTTTAAAAAAGAAAAGAAAAGCATGAAAGTTAAAGCATAGAGATGTTGTCTCTTCCATCTAAACCCTAACAACGAGTTCCACGATAGACAATTTTCAAACTTGTGTTAGTTTTAAACTTCAATTGAATTATTAAAAACTGAATTCAGAGCTTAATGGGAAAAAGTCATGATTAAGAGTTGTTTTCATATTAAAGAAAACTTAACCATGTTTTATTTAATAGAAAATTAAATTTTTAGTAGATTTTGATAAAGTTAATAAAATATGTAGTTGAAAAGTTAATACAATTTGTGAGTAAAATATATGGATAAATTAATTACCGACTTTCATTCAAATTTTCAACTTTTTTTTTATGACCATGGGAGTCCGGACCAACTTACGCGCACCTCGACTAATTTCACAAAACCCTGAAATTTAATGTCAGATACTCATCTCAGTGATCTTGAAGAGATTCGAATTGGTGATCATTGAGGAGCAAACCCAAAACCTAATAACTGAGCTACCCTTTCAGGGTTAAATTTTTAACTTTGATAATTAAATCAAATAGAGACTTAAAATTTTTCTCGCAAGTCTTTATATTTTAGTCACAATTCAGTGAAAATTAGAATTTTAATTTTAATATAAATAAATAGTTAACAATTAATTTTAACTATTTATTTCATCGAAAACTTTTTAACCACATATTTCATCAATTTTTATTAGCATTCGCTAAAAATTTAATTTAATTACCACCAATCGGAAGGCATACGTATAATCGAATTTATTCACTTTAGCGTAAAAACCCGGTGAGACATTGGACTAGTCTTGAATCTAATGAATTGTGTTGGCCACTAAGTTCAAAAGGACCAATCAAGTTGCCAGATTTATAGACCAGAGCTCACCCACTTTCAAGTTCTTTTTACATTCAGGCTTTCAGCAAACATTTTTTAATTAATAAGTGCAACCTGATATCCCATCCAATGTATGTTGAAAGTATGCCTCAATTTGATCTTTAATAACTTACTTTAAGTAAGTGTTACTCTCAAAATAAGTAATAGTGTTACTCTCAAAATAAGTAATTTTAATAACTTAAAAATTAAGAAATGGTAATGTATCATGTATTGTAAAACAATTTTTTTTTTTCTCTATTTTAGGCTTAGCAGAACACTAAATAATCAGCAAAGAAAATGATACAAGCTAATTAAAAGGCAATACTTGTACAATATCTTGGATTTTGGAAGCTAAACATGATCTTGGACATTTCTTCTAACATAATTGAGAAAATGATAAGTATGAACGCAAAGTTGGGTTCATTCCTGCCAAAAGTACACTAGCAGCAAGTCATCCACGACTGATAATAGCTTAACACTTAACAGTACTCACATCGATTAAGTAAAGTAACAACCATTAACCAAAGTGGTAAAGCTCAATTCAACTTCAACGTGTTCTTCTTGCTATTCTTTCGCCAACTATGGACAGGAGCCTTGAAACACCTTGTGTCCACATTTCATATTCTCTTTCATTCTTGCATTCAAACTCGACGATGCCACGGGCTTCAGTTTTTAACCCAAAGTATCGTCTTTGCTCTCTATCTTCAAACAAGTTCCTCCCCGGCCATGCAGGTATGTCCCTGCAAACATCCAGCACTATATCTGCAGCACAACTTAGCACTCAATATTTTACCAGATTTTCAATGTACAGAGAATTGAAGTCAAAAAATCTTACTCTTGTTCTTTTTGGTTATGGTATTTGCTGCGTATTTGCTCTTCATCTTCAGCATCACCTGCAAAATGTGAATGAAACGATTGGGATAAATGATAACTTTCGTCGAATTTTGTACATCATCTAAAAGTTTAAGTTGTCGGAGAAAGAAAAAATTTTCAGAAGTGGTCGGCGTTGATGGCTAGAACCCTTAGCGCCCCCGTTTGACAAAGTTTATTGAGATTATAAGTTGGTGGGTCCGTTAATTTAATGAAATTATGGAGGACTCACATTTCCAGTTTGGTGAATATAAACGGAGACAATCTTCCAGTGTAGATCACCTGCAGAATTGATTGGTATCAAGATCAAGGAAAAATGTTCCAAGCTTCAAACAATTTTCAAGTGAAGGTCACCTTTACGAGTTCTTTTGAGAAGTTCACTGCCCCGAGCGAGGATCAGATCTTGATTACAAGCAGCCAAAAAGTTTTCTTCAGGAGCTAGTTCTTCATAAGTATTGTTATTGCTGCTATTGATTAACCCTCTGTCTATTGGAACAGCTGCTGGAACATTCCACACGTCCTTCAACGCTCTTGCCTTCAAGGTAGCTACTCCACGCAGAGCTGTAAAAGAGAGAGAGAACTTATCTAACTCATCCCTTTCATTTCAGGGAGTCTGAATCTGTAAAAAATGAATAATGCACATTCAAAATTTTCTCACCTGTGGCTGCGGCGGCGGTAAGAGTTGATATGTCTCCATAAGAGCGGACATTGACGGCAGAGCTTATTGCAGACATGAGGTGATCACGATTAGCTCCCATTGCCTCTGCGGCTTCAACGCACTGTGCAGCCACAAGAATGGCGGCTGAAGCCAATGCCTTATCTGTTTTTGCCATCTGTTCGTCGTTTCCCTTTGAAGATGCTGCAGCTGTGGCGGCTGCAATTGCAGCCACTGCTGAAGCTACTCCAGCTACTGAAACAGCTGCATGGAGCTGGGCATTTTGCACTCTTGTCTCTTCTTTCTTCTTCTCTCTCTTTTCCTTTAGCCACCTCCCGACTGTCTTGCCACCTGGTGTGCTAGCACTAGCACCGGAAGCACCAGTACCGCCATAACCGGTATGTGTGGTGCCACTGGGGGTCAATAAGGGTTGTAATGTGTTGTTTGAGCGAAAGTACTGTGATTTTGACAGGAAAATAAGCGGAGGTTATAAAAAATAACTAGATATAGATGAGAAACATGACAAAAAGATATGAATGAGCTTCTAATTATATTATGAAACTCATAAATTATCTCAAATTTTCAACAATATATTTCATCAAGTTTTATCAATATCTATTTTACCCAAACTGAACTGGGGCTATACATAAATCGGGTTGTGCCGGTGTTTTGAGGTGGGCCTTGCTTTGCTGGCCGCATACCTTTTTATTTTTATAGCTTTGTTTTCTTTTTTGGCGGGCTCATCCCCCATGTGAGGGGCGTGTAAACGACTGATACAAATGAAATTTCCCTTATATATATAAAAAAGACTTCGGTCCATATATATAATCGCGAGGCGAGTGCCTAAATCGAGTCTCAAGCGAGGCATAGATAGGGAGTGCAAGGTAGCTCAAGCCCAGTTAATTTTTTTTAGTATGTAAAATATATTTTCATATAAAGTCATAATTTTTCTGCTCTATATTAATAAAAACAGTGCAACACATGACTTTGTCGTCCCCAGGCTACACCCCTAATCTCGAGCATCCTTTATTGTGGAGTAGGCAGTTGAGACACATCGAATGCTACATTGGGCTACGCCTATATCATGTTGAACAACTCTGCCTGTTTTTACACTTCTAAATTCAATATTTTTAAAATCGGATTAGACAGGTATGTCCATCTGAAAAAGTTGTGAACCATTATGAAAATTGGTTCGGTTGATACCCAAAAATCTGATATTTAAAAACTGGCCAACTAGATAGTCTAACTGTAAAACCTGTCGATTCGCAACCGATTTTGACTATTTTAGCCATGATTTTTTCCTATAAAAAATTTGAAAACTTCCTTACTAGGCCCAAGTGGTGTTCCTATCGATAATTTGAAAATTTTCTTTACTAGGCCCAAAGTATAAGGTCCAAATGGGGTATCAGACATTATAGTGGCCAAGCCTTTTTGGACCCGTTTGGTGTGACTTTTCATGTTTGGCATGACTTTTAAAAAGTCAAAAAATGTTTTTGAGATCCAAATGTTGCTTTTGGATCAGTTTGATTAATTTTTTAGAATACTTTTAGTAGTTAAAAGAGCTTGTAGTGGAAGTTTGTTCAATGTGATTTCCTCTAAAATCACTTTCGAAATGAGAAGTGCATTTAAATATTAGTTTCCAAACAAAAATTATGGTAGCTTTCTCCAAATACTCTTCTGCAATAAGTAAAAGTAAAAACAAAACATATACCAAAAGAGCCCTTTATATCCAATTTCTTTAGTATGGTAGTTCAACGCAACTGAGGTGGGATTGGGGAGAGTACTGGTTAAAAGGTGGAATTGGCTTTTTTTCTTCTTCTTTTTTGAATTTGTTTCTTTTTATTCAATTTTTTTCTTATTTTCTCATTTGTTTATTATAATAACAAACTAAAATGCCATAAAATATCTAATCGACTTAACTATTAATATTTTTTTGTTATCTCATTTTCTATTGATATTAGAAGCAAGACCTAATAAACAATGAAAAATTAATTGCAATCAAGTTTGTTAAGTGATCATTGTATCTATATATGAGTCATTTGGAAAAAAATAACATACTATGTCAAATTTTGTTATATATTTATATTTTAATTATTTTATTTATTATTAGCAGTTCTATCCCTATTTGACCTTGACCTTTTTAAATTTTTCGGGAAATCTATGGTCGAGTTGATTTTGAAAACATTGCTTCCAACATATGGTGACTTATATGTTTAAGACACGAATTGATTATTTGTGTTCAATTTTTATAACTTAATTATATATACATCTGGTTTTATTCCTTTAGTAGCTATGAAAAAGTTGATGGACTTAATTAAATATATTATTGAAGTCTAAAGATTGCACATACTACTTTTTGGCAACGATTATGTTCGGAGTCGGTTCGACCAAAATCATCACCGAACCACCAATTTTTTTATCATACCATAATCGCACCATAACCACGTAAGTCGGTTCGGCTCGATTCAATCTCGGTTCGGAGCAATTAATAACCATGTAAATAAATTATTTTTCATATGTCTGACCGTTAAATTGAAAATAACAATTTATGAAAAAAAGTCACACGTGATGGTTATCAACTGATAGTCGAGTGAATTATATTAGGACATTTCGAACAATTTATGTTACTATATTGTTTAGATTATTGGATTTGGTTTACACCCAAATGATTCATTTGAAGTGCAAATTCTCCCTCTTGATGAGAGATTTCTCAATTTCTTTGGGTTTTTTGTTAGAACCGAGCCACTTGTACCTTGACATTGACATGCCGAGGTACACGCTCCCCTCACAGTAGAGAAGCCTATGCCTTTTCTGATGGTGTGGGGCCCTCTTGCTGTGAGGGGACGTATGCCTCGACATGTCAATGCCAGAGTACAAATGGAAATATTCTTTTTGTTAAGAGGATGAGGGAAAAATTTAACATTGCAATCATAGCTATAGTATTGTTGAAGGGAATGTTTTTATTTGCATTCTTGATCACTTACCAGATTAAAATTGTACAAAATACCAATAGAGGGCACATCTGTAAGAAGTCGATGATTTATGGTAACAAGGGTGATATCTAGGTTATCGATGACAAAATCAAAAAAGGTAAACGCTATGCATACTAAGCCCCCGTTTGGTCCCCATTTTTAATAATGAGAATGGGAGAAATAGTATTTTATTGAAAAAATGAGTGGTTGAAAAAGAAGGAAAAATTTTCGATTTACGTGTAATATTATTTTATGGAAGATTGTGTGGTTGAAAATAGAAGAAAGAAAAATAGAATGTAATGGAATGTAATTTAATGGGAATCAAACAGAAGCTAAATTTTAAGCCAATTCAGATGCCTAAAACTAATCAAATGATCAAATTTACCGTAAAAGAATAAGTTTTTTGAAATTGAAATTGTTGATTGAGTTCGCTTCAAAAGTGAGTGAGTTGATAACCATCATGTGTGACTAATCAGTACTTGGAAAATACTTAGAAACCCTTAGCTTAGGGATCGATAGGCAAATTCAAGAAATTCAAGAGTTGTTTCACGTTTTGAGTAAATTTCCTCATTTAGATAGTCAAAAAGGTCACTGATTAGACAACTAAAGATCCTTTGACAAAAAAGTTCTCTGTTTTTTAGCACTTTTCTACAGAATTTTAGAGAATGCTGAAATAATTGACTGTATTGGGTTCAATCCCTACATGGCCTTTTTTCTCTCTCTCTCTCTCTCTCTCTCTCACAGATGCCATTATTGACTAATCAGTGTACTAGTTCTCGTTAATAGTAATTGAGACATGATGCGTTGAAGAAGTAGTTGGGAAGTTGCAGAAGAGAATGTGAGGTTTGCAGAGTGCTGTTGTTCCTCAGCGGTACTCATATTTCCAGCTTTAATGTTAAAACTTGAGTTGGGAAGCAAAGATGGAGACTTGGAAACGAATTCCATTGGGTTTGCTTTCCGGCAACCTTACTCCGCTGCGTTTTTTAGCACTTTTCTACAGAATTTTAGAGAATGCTGAAATAATTGACTGTATTGGGTTCAATCCCTACATGGCCTTTTTTCTCTCTCTCTCTCTCTCTCTCTCTCACAGATGCCATTATTGACTAATCAGTGTACTAGTTCTCGTTAATAGCTCAATTCTGTGCTCCTTTATTGAAAATATCAATAAATAAATAATTACTTTATTGGCTTTATGGATTGGATCTCCTGCCACACCCACAATGAGCTTAGTTACTCTCGTCCAGTCCTACGTGGACAAGGGATCCCTGCTGGTTGGTTTTATCCCCGTGAAAGTTATAATTTGTAAGTGTGTTCCTCGTTAAACCTATGTTTCATATTATGTAAAGCAAAAGTACACTGGAAATACAGTCTTTGTTTTGCTTTTGAAGAATCCTGTCCTCTGCATTCCTTTGGATTGGTGTTTCCTTTTATAGACTACAAAGTTGGGGTGGGATTGGGGGATTACGGAAGGAATTTGAATAGGGTTGGCACCTAGCATGTGTGCTCCTTATTCCAGAGATTCGAGCTTTTTTTTTTTTTTTTTTGCTGTCAGTGCTCAGTAGAACCTTCTTTCAAGTTTTTATAAGCCTCGTTTGGTTTAAATAAAAATTGTATAATATATCATAAAATATAATAAAAATTTTATGAAATTTCCTACATAATGTGAAAATATTGAATAAATTGAAACGCAATTTTTGTTTACTTATTTATTTATGCTAAACATTGATTGAACACTTATTTTCAACCATTATTGCAACATCGATCAGTTTTATGGTATAGATGGACACAAAGAAGAATCAGTTTAAGAGATGTACATTTCCCTAAATTTAAAATGTTTACATTAATGATTTTCAAAATAAAAAATACTCATTTGGTCTGTAACATAAACTTTTTTACTTTAAAAAGTATCTTATCCAAACACTTTTAGAAACAAAAAATTACGTATTAATCATACTCGTCATATTAATCCACAACATATTTATTTTAAATCAAAAACCAAAGTTACATTCAAAATATATATAGAAATGAAAAATCTTAAAACAAAAGTTTTTTTTTTCTTTCTTTTTCTTTTGAATGGGGTTAATACAAATAGAGGAATAAAAATTTTCTTTTTAAATATATCGAATTAAAATTTTTTTCTTTTCTTTATATATTTATTTATAATAAGTAAGTGAATTACCATTAATTTTTATGCTTATACAAAAATAAACATGCAATAATAATAAAATATCCAATACTATATTAATTACTTTTCAGAACAACGCATAATATTAATTTTTATTAATACTTAAACATTTGGTTTTAGTGAAAAATGTGCGATTGAGATGCGAAACTTGTATTTAATAGGATGGATACAAATATGGGAAGGGGAAGTAACTCCTAATTGTTAGGAGTAATTAGTAAAAAAAATTAATATTAATGGATAATTCTTCCATCTTTGATTATTTCCCTCATAACTAATATCACATTCAAATAATTTTTTTTTCTTTTTAAGTTATTGTCC